TGCCTCACTTATCTGTAAGTTAAATTCTTTCCCCATATTTGGAAAATTTTCTGCTATTATTTCTGTAAACAAGTTTTTAAAACATTACTTGTGTTGTCTTATTTTTCATTAATTCTAATTAATCTTAGATTAGTCTTCTTTGCATCATTTAGCAGCTGTTGGATCCTTTTTTTTATGTTCTCTTGTTGCTTTTACAGTATCTCTGAGTATATGGTCACCTGCATCAACCCTGTCTTCTAGTTCTGGCACGTTTTCCTCACATTGGTCACTTCTGTTGCCCATATTTTCAACAGAATTTTAAATCTCCTGGTTTTCTGTTTGTTACATTTTAATGGACTCTAATTCTTTGCTAAGCTAGTTGGTCAAATTTTGTATCAATTTATATAGCTCAGCTAGCTTTTTATCAGTGTCTTCTGTAAGCTGACTGATCATTTTATTTATTAAATCCATCATCTGTTTAGTTATATCTTCCTTGAGCTTACCAAGCACCTTATTGATCTGGTTTTTTTCCTCTTTTTTGTTTTTATTAATTCACATAGTTTAGCTGTTTGGGTTTATTTCTTCCCAACCTATCAGCTTTGGGGGAGCTGGGAGGTTTTGGAGGTATTTTGTTATCTTGTCTCCTCATGTTTCTATTTTTGTGTGTGTTCTGAGTTTTGTGGGTTGATTATAGTGGAAAACTTTGCTCCTAGTATGGAGATCTCTTTAGTTAAGGCCTCCTCTTCACTGATGTACTCTGGGTATGGCTAACTATAGGCCTTTGCCTCTGTCCCAAGATCCAACCTCCATTAATTTGGGAGGGGAGAGTACAGTGTAATTGGCCCAGCACCTAGTTTTACAGACATGAACTTCAGTATTGTTGATGACAAAAAGAGAAGCCAGAATTGGCAAACAGTAAAAACCAATTAATAGCAACAAATATGCCATGCCATCTTCTATTAGTAACAGTAATAGAGTCAAAGACAAACTGGATACTGACAGACTAGAAGTAAATAAAAGCTACTACTGTATCACCATTAACCATAGACAAGAGATCTGTAGTTGTAATATAAATACAAAGACAAACCAAATATCAACATAAATATCTAATAATGCAACAACTATACCACCTTAAAAAAACAAAAGAATTCAACAATAATAGCATAGAATTAACTAAATATTTAAAGATTAATAAAGCTTAATGGTTATACAAGTAAAGATGGAGGGAGTAGGGAACAGGTGAATAAAAGAAGTTTGAAAAATAAAGAAAAGGAAGATAAGGAGGAGAGAAAAGTAAGATAAATGATCCTATTAAAGAGTAAAAGAGAATTAATGTAATTAGATAAAAGCAACTTAAAAGAACAAACAAGAAAAAGAAGAAAAAAGAAAAATAGCAAAACAAAGAAAAAAGAACTTCTTCACCTCCTACATAAAGAAAAATAAAATAAAATTTGTCCAAAAAGAATTTCTCGATAAGCCAGGCACGGTGTCACACACCTATAACCCAGCACTCAGGAGGCTGAAGCAGGAGGATTGCTGTGAGTTCAAGCCCAGCCCGGACTGAACCTGTCTCAAAAAAAAAAAAAATTCTCTGTGTTTCTGAATGAGTAGTTAGGATCTGCAGTATTGAATCCACTGGATATGGGGGAGGGATACTGAGTCACTGCTAAGACCTATTTTGTTTCCACACTCAACATTTTTGTGTGTGAGTGCTGCCCTGCCTTTCTCACTGGGCATGGCCAGTCAACGGCGTCCTCCGTAAGGCTATAGTCACTCTAGCACCTCCCAGTCTCTGTATCCCTCTGTGCATCTCAAGTCAAGGCTTTCTCTGCTCAGCTTTAGGGCCTGTGGGGTTGTGAGGTGCCCGCATTTGGCTCCAGAGGCTCCTCTGGCGACTGTCCAAGCAGATGCATATTCTCGCTCATGTTGGTAGATAGGGAAAACAAACAGATCCCTGAGCTCTGTGCTGGATGTAGGCAGCAAGGTGGGGTCGAAGCAGACCACTGGACGTGATGACCGCACTTGCAGACCAGGCCCCCTCTGAGAGCCACAAACAACCACCCTGGCTTCTCACCACAAAAGGTGGAGCCCCCATGTCCTTCCTGAGATTAAACTTTGCAGGGGGACCTAGGTCTAGCTCACATCATCTCCCTGACTGTCTCTGTGGCCATCTCCCACTCAATGGTAGGGTGACACCAGAAACCATGAAGTAGAATTGTTATATAATTGGTCTGTAGTTCAGTCTTAAACAATTAACCCCTTCCCAGAATGGTTCCTGATTATACCCACTCAAATATGGAGAGTGCCGGACTGGGTTCCTCTTCTAACACTACCCTGCCGTGTGGAAGGAGTCACTTCCAGAGTAAAACTCCAGGCTGTTTTTGCAATTTACAACAGCTGTGGGCTTTCTTGGGGCCAGCACTGCTGGCTCAGTCAATTGTCTCCCTGGAGCTGCTCTTTTTGGGCCTACCTTGTGTCTGTAAAGATAGATCTCCTTCCCCAGGAGCCAGGGTGAGCCTTTCAGAATGCCTTGTTTTTTTCTGTGTTATGCTCTATTTCCCCATCTTCTTTATAGTTTCTAGTTTTCCTGTCAACTTCCTCTGGATTCCTGGAGATCTGCTTCTGTTTTTGTCTTCAAGTTGTTTTCTGGCATCTTGATTCCAGGTCCCTGAGAGGCTATATTTTACTGCCAGTCTCTTCTCTGTCATTTTAAATCCTGCTTTTGATTAAAGAGATATGGCTCCAGTTTCATTCTTTTACATGTAGATAACCAGTTTTCCCTGCACCTCTTGTGAAACAGGCTATTTTTTCTCTAGCCTGTGTTTCTGACTCTTCTGTCAAAGATCGGATTGTTGAAGGTGCCTGGGATTGTTTCTCCATCTTCAGTTCTGTTCCATTGATCCACATCTCTATTTTCTGTGCTAGTACCATGTTGTTTTTGTCACTGTACCTTTATAATAAAACTTGAAATCCAGGATTATGATGCCTTCTGATTTCCTCTTATTGCCCAGGATTGCTTTTGCTATTCTGGGGAAGACAGGAATTGAAATGGCTCACCACAGAAATGTTGGTAGAATTACAGTTATCCCTGCCTGGGAAACTCATCTTGGAAAGAATTACTAAGGACCTCTGGGACTGCCCTATACTTCTGTATTTTCTGTTCTTTGTGTGTGACTAAAAAGAGAGACATAGCTTTGTGGGAGTTGCCAGTTCTATTTGCTGCTCTACTGGAAGTCATGTAGACCAAGTGACAAAGACAGCAGGCTCCTAGCAGGTTTAACAAAGGCCTAAATTCATGCAACTGATGAAAACAGTGGGTCATGATTCTGTGTATGAACAGAGTTGGGACCTGTGTCTCTACTATTTATCTTAGAGGCTTATGACTTGCTTGCTCATGAGTGTGGGAGTACAAACAAAGGACCCTGTGGCTGAGAGTATACTCTGTAGTTGTGTGTAGGTTTTGCTTTTGTTGGCTAACAAAAAGATTTGCCTCTACAAGACCATGTTTCCCTATTATCTAAAAGGGCTATTGCACATTTCTCCATTTGATTTCAGTAGGCAGGTCAGTGCCAACTGCAGTGGGCCCACAGGGAATGAGACTTAAATTATCCTTGTCTGGGGGGTTCCATAGAGGAAATAGGAGAAAAACAGTAATATTATATAATTAATCTGTGACAGGCACTCTTTTGGATACTTTTCATAAGTGATCTTATTTACTCTCAACAATCCCATGAGATAGATGTTACTTTTCTTCCTTTTACAAATGAGGCAGGTGAGCCTGAGTGTTTAGGAGTCTTGCCCAAGCCAGGGAATGGTAGAACTGGGATCTGCACACAGTTCAGATGAACTTGCATGTGTGATGCCTGGGCTCGGCAGGATAGGGATCCCTAATGAACCTATAGATTAGAGAAGGGTAGGAGTAATCATGGCGCTTCAGGAAGGCATCCATAAATGAATAGGTCGAGCAGCTGAAGGCAGAAAACACAGACCTGGGCTGGGACAGGAACTTGCAAGATTGCAGGCTCTTGCTGCCTAAGAGGATGGGTGGGTCACGTGATCGGCACACAGAGGAATTGTGGGTACACAGGGAAGCAGCATGGACCAACAGTGCTCAAGGATGGATCACAGCTGTGTCAGTATAAAGCTCCCTCTAAACCCATGGCACCTTGCCCTGGTAGGAATAGGCCCCATTGTGCTGGTTTCCTACTTCACTTTGTATTCCCTACATAGAGCACAATGCCTGGTTCAGTGCTCAGAATCTGTTTCCTGAATGTTAGTTAGGCTGAGAAGGAGGACCAAGCAGAGACATTCCTTCATGTGGCTCACAGACACAAGGGAGGTGGGGTTGTTAAGAGTTCGTGTTTAATTTCACAATACTTAGAGGTTCCTGAACACATGGTGACGATTCCACTTCTGCTTTTGTCTGTACCTTGTCCTGGAATTTCCTTTGCACAGGCCTGCTAGACTTCCATTTATTCATCAACATTCGTTACATGTATCGCTTTCTTTTCACATTTTGCTTCCCAAACAAAATTGTATACCTTTTCTTCTGGGTTATTTGGTAACTGTGTACACCACATTTCTTTAAGCTAACTTATGTTTGCCTCTAGGGACCTTCTCATCTTTGTAACTCCTGCTACCTAGCACACAGACTGAAACACAGAAATGTAATAGGCATATTGTACATTTTAAAATGAATAAATGATTGAATCCCTTTGACTGAATAAATGCAGGACAGATAGGGACATGACTGGCAGTTCTTTGACAAACCATGCCAAACTTTAGTTGTTCCAAATAATTTCAGTTTTCCTTTACATGGTTTATCTTCAAACTTTAAAAACTAATAATTTTTATATTTTTATATGGGCATATACATCCTACTTTAGATGATAAACTTACAGAAAACAGGAATTCTATTTTCTGCTTTTAAAATAAAATAATACTATCTTTATGGGGAGACATTACTAAGTAGAGAGAAGTGGCATTGTATTGCTCAGTTTGCCACTGCCTGTGTCACTTACCTTCTGGGTTACTGGACATATATTTGAATGTTGACTAGGCCGAAGTTGAACAAATACATTACCCATGTTCTTGTATCTAGGAAAAACAGCCCACACAGGTTAGACTGATGACAGCAGTAGACATGACTCTGTTTCTGTAGGGCAAATGCAAAGTTCCATGTACACAACATGACTGAACCCCTGAGGAGTTCTAGAGGCCTGGGGGGTGGTGCTGGTGGCAACTATGGTCATATTGTAAAGTGGGGCCCACCTCTTGTGTCCCATGTTTTGGCCACCATATCATTGCTACAGTGGGAAAAACAGAAATGAGCCTCCTATCAGCATTTTAAACCTCCCTCCCCCTATTTCATGAGCACCTAATTCCTTGGACATTCAAATTCTGTGCTGACATCTTGACCTGCCTGTTCTGGATGGTATTACAAGGTAGGGGCCACTATATCAGTTCTTCCTGCAGCCCCTATAGATTTCCCTTCCTATTGACACCACCTTTGGAAGTATGAAGCATAATTAGCTTTCTGGACCCCCTAAGCTGCATCATGTGATCTCACTGGGAGGCAGAGGAAGGTCAGATAGAGCATTTTCCTGAACTGTTCAGTGCACACGAATCATTCTGTGTTCTAAATGACAGAGCTCGAAACAACAAAGTTTTGAAAGCTTGACTCACACTCCATCTGCTATTTACTTTTTGAAAAACTGGTTTTACTTTTTGAAAAAAAAAACCTGGGGAAAAGTAAAAGAAAGTATCCTAGGCAATTCTTTTTTTGTATTAAATTCTTTTATTGGTACATTGTAGGTGTACAACACAATTACATTTCTCATTGGGAACTGTACCTTTACATAATGCATCTTGGTTCTTATTTTTTCCCCATTCCTAGCCCTCC